CCACATATTTATTTGAGTTATTTGTTTCGGTTGCAGAAAAAATAGCATGTTTCATTCGGATCAAAAGTGACTTTGTTCGACTCGCAAATTTTGCTTTCGCTCGGCTTCGCTAAACGGTCCGCCTCGCAAGGTATCTCAACGCAGACATATATATTAAACTTTCAGTTTACTGAAATTTTACTTTTCTTGTGTTCGATCAGTGTCAGATAGATGGTATAATGAATCAACAATCTATAATTATCATTCTAACCAGTAATTAAATTCTCATATCCTAATGCAGTAAAAGAGAAAAAGTAAATTTGAAATAGAAAGTGTTTGTCAAATAATCTGGGTGTATGCTCAGCTCTTGAAATATTCATATTAAATGATGTCCGAATAAATAAATTAGATGAGATGCTGAGGCATATCCGTGAAGAATTAACTTTCATTTTCTCCAATGTTTGCCTCTTGCGCCTATACAGGTTTGTATTAATATGAGCTCAAACAACATCAAGAAATTTTAGAAAATAATAGTATAGAAATCACTGTTGAAAATACTATAGGGAAAACGCGGAAAATTAGATTTTCAGGTGGATCATATTATTGAAAAATGTGTTTCAGATTTTATTCAGGAACATTTTATAGTATTCGAGGAAATATAAAAAGAAAGTTTATATAAACTTGTTAGTTATGGGACTTACTTTTCGAGATACAGAATCTTGAAGCTGAAGAAATATTATTTGTCTTTTACCATTATCACCCTGTATAAGATATCATAATGCCAAAATAGGTGTGTTCGGTGACTGACAAATTATCGAAATCTCCAAATTATACTATCATTGGCTATCGAATGATTCCAATATATGTCTTGAATTGACCTACATTAGAATTTGGAATTTTATATCAAGTCTAATTTTCATTTCTTGAAAACTAAGTGAGATATCAGAAAACTCCCTGGCACGGAAATTGTTATAACCTTGATTCCAATCGAAATGTATATAAATTAATGTTTGTGATCAACCGAATTGAGCTGAATTGAGCATGCTGAATCCAGTGGTAGATTCGAATTTTCTTTATAAAGATCGCTGATGATGTTTCGCAATTTTAAGGAAACAAATTTGAAACAATGTAGGCCTGGTGGGCCGAAACAGTCGGTACTGTCACGCTCCTGCTGACAAATGTGTGATCGTAGACCTTTTGATACCCTTACCGTTGAAACGAAAAAACCTGAATCGGTTTAGTGGTCTTGAGTGGGTTATACTGTATGTTGAAGCAGTGTTATTATCTATGTATATCGTATATCGTTTTATGGTTTCAGGGGGAACGACTCGTCTGCTTTCTTCATCCCCGTATATAACTACAACCCCCTACCAGGGGCAAGCACAACATCCTGGATTTTGAATAAGGATTGGAGGTGTTGCGAAACTCCAATTTGAGGAGATTTCATCGAGTACTAACAGACCCTCTAATTTCGCGAAAAAAATTTCATCGATAACGAAATGAGAGCTAAAATATTGGAAGAGGCAGTTTCGAATTTACCTCGAAAATATTATTCTTATGAGAGTAGGATGCGAAAAGTTTCTATTAATTTTCTATTTTTTGTCTGATAAAAGAATTCACCAAATTGTTCCTTCAGCGTCGATCATCAAGAGCTCCAATAAGATGACTATGGCTTTTACATTTAGGGCCACTTCATAAAAAACTTTAAGATAAGACCTAAGATTTATCACCCAACATTCAAGACTTATCACTTATGACAGATGGAACATGGAAATATCATTGCATGGTTACGTTATGAAACCAGTTAGGACTTATGATTTAACATTCAAGATTTGAGAATATGATTCCAACTTAAGAAGTGCTGATAAATGATCATAAATGGAATAAGGAGTGCTCATCCAAAAGTGACATCTCAATTTCCCGTCATTAAAAAATTATTCGAAATATCTAGGGTTGTCATTCTTGAATATTTGTTTTTCTTCTTCAAAAATACACTGGAATGTCGCAAATCTGTTGCCTCCATATTTGTCGAAAGATCCAAGGAGTGAACCTATTTCTGTTAGGCAAGGAATATAGTGAATGCTTCCAATTAATAGAATAGTATCAGAACATGGAATTTTTATTTCCAACCAGTCCCTAACTAACTAAACTTCGAAAATCTGGTTTTGTTTCAGAAACTAGATGTTAGTAATGTCAGAAGACATGTATCGCCCTAGAATCTTAATTTTTTTTATAACTGAACCCTCATAAGAATCTTGAGACTTAAATATTTAAAATGTTGAATCTTAAATGCTGAAAGATTTTTCAAAGTCACTCCAAATGTCAAATTTTCAGGACGCGATCTGTACATACATACAGGTTGACGTTGAAATAATCATGTAGAAATATATCACACCTTGAGAAAGATCGACGTATATATAGTATCGAATAGCACCATAAATAAAAAAAAATAAGGATTGAATTAAAATTTGGTGTCTAACCCATTTTCTAACAATGTAGTAATTCTGACACCACCTCTGAACAAATTTCTGTGTGGAAGGTACGGAGGTGAAAAAATTAATACATTATATAATATATAGGGTGACACAGGGTATCGGGCCACCCCTATAACTTCTGCATTAGTGAGCGTTTATTTCTAAAATTTGGTACGGTTATATAAGCAACCATTTCGGATTCGATCACATTACAATCCAATATGGCGGACTTCCGGTTTACCTGGAAATGCTAGCAACTTTGTTTTTCCAAATGAAACACCTCGTATATATTTACATATTCAAGTTCGACAGGTCAAAGCAAGTGCAATTTTCATGTCAAATGTAATTTTTTCAAAACCATTGAAATTAAAGTTGTTTCTTTATTTCACCTCGTGGATAAATGTGATATAGTCAAGGCTATTCACAATGAGTCCCACATACTAAAGGAACATAATTTTTCCTTCGAAATTATTGCTCGTGTCACTTATCGTTAAATCTTTCCATCAATTCTTTCGATCAATAATTCATTTTAGAACATACATAAAAGACAAAATTCTTGTATTTCGGTGCTGTAACAAATTGTATACATTCAAAAATCAACAACTAGTTTCATGAATTTCCTTGCAGTTCGAATTATCTTTCTAGTGAACTGTGAAAAACAACATCCCTGAATCTTATCATAAGGATTGCACTTGTTTTGACCTGTTGAACTTGAATATGTAAAAATATACAGGGTGTTTCATTTGAAAAAACAAAGTTGCTGGCATTTCCAGCAAAAACCGGAAGTCCGCCATATTGGATAGTATTGTGATCAAATCGGAAATAGTTGCTTATATAACTGTACCAAATTTCAGAAAAATCCGTTAACTAATTCAGAAGTTACACGGGTGGCCCTATACCATGTGTTGAATATTTTTACTGTGACACAACCAAGCTAAATTCTATCATCATTCAAAATGTCTCAAAGTGACCTACTTGATTTTTTTTGTGTTTTGTTCAAATTTCATGACGACATTTGGCGTCAATTAGAAGAAATAGAAAAAATCTGACACTTCGGTAATATTAGTTATAGACTGTATCATATTGGTTTGCTGAATATATTTGTGTACTTTGTATACATTGATCATTTTCGACATTATAAAATGGAAAATAATTTCCAGTCTAACCGGAATTGCTAAACGATTGGTAGGAAATGACATTTTCTGTGGCGTATTTGAAAGTTCGGCAGAGTGACTGAGTATATGTAAAAGAGTAGGTAGGTTACATACCTATCTATAATTTGCTCTGGTTATAGGTAATTACCACGACTGATATCCTCACCATGAATAAAGCATGTAATTGTATTCAGAAATAACAAGAATATTATCAACTAAGTATAGGTATGCTTCACAATTGGCACATCATTCCCAAAGAACATTATTTCGCGGTAAACTTTACATAATAAAGATAAAATGGAGTGCATGAATTCTAAATTCACCGGAAAAATCAGTACGAATGATTGTTAAAAATTATATAATGATATTATATCATTGAATTGGATATGTTTCGTTATAGCGTATCGAAGTTCGTTAATCAAAATTATAATTGAAATGTCATATACCAACAACATGATTACCTACTCATCCTCTATTTTTTTGTCATAATTTCTACAACTGCTAGATGAATACTGTATTTTTCTCGAGAATCAACTTGGTATGTTTAGGTTATGTACGTTAAAAAATTGCACCCAGTGGATTATTTCTCATGTTCGTACTTTCCACAACATGGATTTTGTTCACTTTTTTCCTCTGAAACGAGGTAATATACGAGAAAATGAAGTACCAGAAGTTGAATTCTTTATCGTTTTTAGTTGTTTTTTCTACAACGTTTACATATATTATTACTGGGTGCTATTTTTGCCCCATGGACTTATCAATTGTAATATAGGTTTCAAAATAACTTCCTGAGATTTCAACAAATGTAGTGAATTTATTGCCATATCGGTTCAAACAAGTTTCAGAAAACAATGAAAATGATTTTTTTTAGATACTCGAACATTCAACATCACGGAATCATATATTTTTCGGACATATTATTTATTTGAAATTTTTCTCTTATTTTGATCAGAAAATATAACCTCAAAGTTTAGTACAACAAACACCCTGTACCCTTGCAATAGATGTAATTCAATATTCGTCGTGGCATATAGCCAGGAAAGTAGTCGTTTTCTGTTGAATAAACCGAGAGAGAATCAATATTTTCATCACATGGAGAATGCGAATTCTCAATGTATTTCTCTATATATCGTAGATTCGTGATTAGGTTTTTCTCAATTCAGAATTTCCTTCCACGTCCTGTATGATGAATGTCAATTTATCATACATCCAAAAAATATATCGATATATTTGCCCACCCCTACTGTATATTGTGTCCCAAGTGATCTCAATTAGAACATTTGGCACCTCCATCCCAATAACTTCACAATAATCTCATAACAGATTCAGCTAGTGCGCTAGTGCATTATCCTTCGAAATATGCTGAAATTGGTGGTAAGGGAGCTAGATTTACCACCGATCCTCTGGTGCCTTGTCTTCGTCCCCCGTGGGTCCGTATAAAAACAACACAATCAAGTTCTTCAAGACTTTCTTCGACATAACAAGATCAAGCCCACTCTTTCACTCTCGAAGCCCGATCGCCGACCACCATCATGTATCAACGCGACTCGAAGTGATGTGGAAGTGCTTCTAACAATCTCTTTGGGATTACTCTTGGACTGTTCTGTGTGTGTTTTCAGAGACTGATAGTGGATTAACTAAACGCGAGATGGTGAGTTGCCGATGATGATTTGAACTGAGAATGTTTAGCTCATCAAAATACGTACGGAAGCGAAGGAGTGCCACGAATTATTTTTTTTCTTTTTTCAGTCGATCGAAATTCCGACTGTAATTTTAAAATATCGACTTTTATCTCGAAGTTTCGACCTTTATCTCGAAACTCTGACTTTTATCTGGAAATTTCGACTTTAATGTCAATTTTTCAACTTCTATTACGAATGTTCAACTGTGAACTCGAAATTTTGTATTTTATCTCGAAATTCCGACTTTCTTCTAAAAATTTTGAGTTTTATCTAGAAATATCGACTTTCATGTCAAGATTTAGACTTTAATCTCTTAATTTCAACTTTTTTCTCAAAATTTCGTCATTTATCCCAAAATTTTGGCTTTCATCTCGAAATTTCCTCTTCAATGTCGTTACTATACTATTTAGAAGAAAATCTAACCTGAGAATACTATATTCTATCCATAACAACTGAACAGGAAGATTTGTCATTATGCCGTTTCATTTTATTGTCCTTTCATGTTTCTTCGTCTTTACTCTCTATGTCACTATATATTTTCCAGAAACAAAATTTTTACCTACTGTATATACAATTATTTTATGATTATTCTTCATTTCTTGAGCTGATCTCATTATGGATTTTCGAGAAACTTCCTTGATAGAAAGATCCACTGAATTGAAGAAAAACAAAATACAATGTATAGAGACTATGAAAGAAAAAACCCCAAAAATTAAGAGAAATGAATAACAATTAAAAATAAAATAAATTTCACCTCATGATAATCATTGTATCTATGATATATTATCAACTATAACAGAAAGTATACTGTTGAATTCAGTAATTCACAATATTGAAGATAGACCAAAAAGAGATTTCATTATCTCTCAACATGATTTTTTTGTCGAATCCACTTGTGCAATGTTTCGAGTCCGTATGCAGCAGAAGCTCATGTTACCAAGTTCTGATAATATATGTCTCCATTTATTCAATTCAATTGAAGTTGATAGTTTACACAAGGAATACTAGCTGTCAGCTGTTTCCTAGACAGAATGGTATGAAAAGAAAAAGCAATCAAAGTACCACGAAATGACTGTTTGATATAAGTAGTGTAACTAGTTTCGGCCACAGGCCATCATCAGACACAAAAATGATGTATTCGGAAGTACCTCAACAATACATATCAGAGCCTCGCTGTTCGTTGGATGAACGAGTCTTTGGAAAGAGATGTTCTGCAGGTCTCCGAAATGACCACGAAGGGGTGCGAAGCCTCAACTCGACGGGGACTGCCAAGGGAGGAACAATGGTTGATATTTCAGAAGAGCATCGACCATAAAAATATCTATAAATAGAGCCAGATCGCCAACTTTCCTTCGGTGTTCCAGAGAAATGAGTGGGTTTGTGAGCGAGGCATCACCCACGAGACGAATTGCCCTTTTTTGGACAGAATCCAACAGTTTCAGGGTATGTTTGGGTGCTGCACTCCAAATATGGGTACAGTATTCCAGGACAGGTCGGATTTGTGCCTTATAGATCATGAGCAGCTGACTGGAAGTGAAATAGCTCCTTGCCCAAAACAGAAAACCAAGTTTTTGGAATGCAATTGATCTCACGTGATTTTCCCAAGAAAGGTTATTGCTGATAGTAATACCAAGCATCGAAATGGATGTATTCAAAAGTATGGTTACTACTGACGAACTTATGTCGGCTTTTCTAGAGAAAAGGCATGCTTATGTTTTGTTTGCATTGAAATCTACCAAGCTATTGGATCCCCATTCGAGAATTATTGCCAAGTCCATATTTATGTTGTCAACATTTCTCCCTCGTTTGTTTCTGATTTGCCTGGCTGGTATTGGAGCCTTGGAAGAGAATGCGGTATGGAGGATACTATCATCCACGAAGCTCTGTACTGGACATGAAGTTGCTTCCAACAAATCGTTGATATGGAGTAGAAATAGTGTTGGTGCTAGAATCGATCCTTGCGGATCACCAGCATTTATCATAAGAGAGTCCGGTGAAACTCCGTCGACCATTTCATAAAGAGACCTGTTTGAGAGGAAACTAGCCAGCAGAGAACATAACTGGGGAGGCAAGTCATAAGATGGAAGCTTGGCGAGGAGTCCGTGGTGCCAGACTCGATCGAATGCCACGGCTAAGGTTTTACTATATTTTTCAATAGTTTGCTGCCATATATGTGAGACGTAAGCGAACAGGTCACCAGTTGATCTCTGATGACGGAAGCCATATTGCCTATCGTTGATGATAATACCTGAATGTTCCAGGTATTTCATGAGCTCGATTTTGATAGCTTTCTCCATGATCTTTGATATAATAGATAGCAGTGTGATCGGTCTGTAGTTGATAGGTAGGGTCTTTTTGCCTTTTTTAGGAACTGGTTGTACTCTTGCAATTTTCCAGTTGGACGGGAATATCCCCACTTTGTTAGAAGCGAATCGAAGAGTTCTCATCTATACTATACGTCAGATAAAATCTTATTCTCACAGGTCAAGAAATTCATGTTTCCTATGGACTTGTCGCATATCTACATCCAATTTAAATTATATGTGTCTCGTTGGTTGCATGGAGTTGCATAGTATTATGTTCTCAATTCCCATTCCCTTTGAATTATTCTGTAGGTTAGCAGGTAGGTTGATCTAATTTTCGGAATTATCGGATCATGTCGAAGAGAGGAATTATGAGTTCGAAGAGTAAGTATAGTATGTAACGCGTTAATAAACTCTTCTAGACACTCGCTTGCACTTAAAATACTCCTTACTTTTTATAACACTTGTTACATGATATACCATTTTATTGGTACCCTAATATGCTCATTTGAAGAAAGTCTCATTGTATTAGAATCCAACTATCAAAAACGCGCGTTTCTCAATAAAATGACCACTCAAGAAAGGGGATGTCCAAAAAAGTCAACATTTTTTACAAAATTATCGATCTGACAGAAGGACCATATGTAACGTCAAATAAAATAATCTCATGATCTCAAAGTGTACCAATTAGAAAAATAGCGCAAAGTATTCGTTATAGTATAGAATACGAATATTCAAGTTTCAATAGTTTCTCCTTTATTGTTCGATGAAAAATTCAGAAATAGCAATTCATTCAATATATATAGGTAACCACATGTCAGCTTCGGTTTCTTCCGAAGTTTCTTTTATAAACTATAAATTTCTGTATGTGGACAGATTTGCACCGATATTAGGAATCTTGATCCGTTTAGCGCTTGTTTTCTCTCCATTTTCTCTCCGCTTTTTTTTTACACTTTCCACGCTCTGTTTTGTCGGACATAGAAAACACGTGAGTGTGGACATTCATTAAATCGTTCGCGAAAGTTTTCTTATACATACACCAATTATGAAAATACTCAATGAAGAACGTATACTAACGACAATAATGTTAATGGTAAACAACTGTAGCTTCGTGTTGTATTATCGTGATAGTTGAATGTTAAATGAATGTAATCAATGTGCTCAGCTCATTTCTATCGAATATTATTGTGTCTCAGATATTCATAAGAAGCAATTTTATATTCGGTTTCTATTAATTATCGCCTCTAGAATGATGATTCGTCAATACTACCTCAGAAGGTTATATGCATAAATCAAATCGTCACTAGTTCTGTTGTTAGTTCAATATGAACCCTTAATTTTACCAAACAACGAAATCCTGACCATTTTTTCAGAATATAAACCTTTAAAGACAACAGAATTGGAAGAACCCCAATTTCTTTCTCATCATTCTTGAATCATAAAATTTTCGTCTCTTTTTGATATGAGTAGGACCCACTAATTATCTTCCACTTCCAATTTCGCAATATTTTATTTGCAAAATGAAATATTCAGCATATTATAATCTTATAATGCTACACAAGCGACATTTTATGTGATAGTAATTTCTTGTTTTATCTTTCATCGGAAGATACCATGACTACCCCTCCCAAATTGTATATTTCAATCATCCGTAGTGACAAAATATCAGTAGTGAACATTCGAATTTTTCCTCACATGGTTGATGCTAATGTGAAGTTCAGCAATCGAATTCCAAATACAAGAGATTTGACACGAATTAGAATCAAAGACTTCACCTTTACCGTTGACTGATATATTACAGTGTAATCGTAATATATCAATCAACGCCTATCTCTGCCTATACGGAGTGTCTCAGGTTCAACTTGTCTATATTTACGTCCTGGAGAAACTGGTTCACGCTCGAACGTTAGGTTAAAGTTCGCTTGAATTTTTGATTTCGAATGTTTATCCCTGTTGGAACTGGAGCTGCCAATTCGAAATTTGGTGAGCACGATACTATCTGCAGTATGAATATTTCATATTGATAAATCCTTCAAAGCTATACTGGGTGTTTTCTTCGTCAGTCTCTTGTTATTGAAACCTTCTGAATTATTTATTGCGATACCAATAGCAAACTGAAAGTGATAGAGAATTATGTACACCTCACTTTTTGTTTTTCCTTCGTTTCACTATCCTTTTAGTTTTGTTGATTCATGCGTAACAACAGTCTTTGAATTTTCAATTCAATTATTATTCGATCTTAATATCTTAGTGATGAATGCGAACATTTCATTCAGTAAGACTACAGTTCATCAACCAGTTTCTAGGAGAACATTTTCAATAACTTGACAAGAATTAGTCCAGTGAATAGAACAAGAATCGAACGATTTCAAAGATTGTTTTCCACAGATGATTGAGTCACTATTATATCATTTAGTCGCCTGAAAATTAAAGTGGTAAATCTCGACTTTTTTCAAAAATTTTGTTGTATACATCAAAATGTTCGTAAAAATTAGAAGAGTCAATCTCCATCTGCAAATATAGGATATTTTCTGAAATAGAATGAAAATGTCTATAATTTTGGCTATATTCGTGACCTCAAAAAAATATACCGATATTATGAAGGGCTATATCAAGCAACGCGCTACCAGAAGATGTCATGGTCATCATTACAGTTATGTTGGTCA